ATAATAATAATAATAATAATAATAATAATAATAATAATAATGATAATGATAATGATAATGATAATGATAATAATAATGATAATAATAATTAATTTTATTTACTTAATATTGCGCTGTCTAACATGCCAATATATAATCGAGTGCGCATTACAAAATACAATATCTATATCTATTTACAATATAATATTTCCTTACTATTAAAATGGAAAATGAAAATATATACAGTCAATGTCATTAACGTTGTCAACCGAAAAAAGACATTTTAGACATTTAGACCAAAATGAATATCACGTGTTTCCTCGAACGTTCTGGCATAAAACAAACACTGGAATACCATTCTCCTTCTTAAATCCTCATCAAATTGGCAGGGCATTCTGTATTTTCGATTCGCAAGTTGAATTTTACATTCAAAGTTCAGGCTGACGCACACGAGGCAAAGAATACATAATGAAACATGTGATATATCTTTTAGTCTAAATGTGTAAATGTCTTTTTTCGGTGGACAACGTTAATGACATTGACTGTATATCATTAAGTGAAAAAAAAARAGTCATTAAATAGGTATAAAATCAATAAAATATAAACGATAGTTGTTCATTTGTGCTGATCACCTGTACACTTTAATTGTTCAAAAAAAAATTGTTCAAAATAAAATCGACCACTAGACGGCGATTACTCTACAGTGATACATGTTTTTAAATATTTGCAAAATTAAAGACGAGTAAAACAAGTACTTATAGTTTATTGTCTTTTGACAATGGAAAAAAGAGGAAAGCGAGAATGAATTGGAAAAATGGAAAATTTTAAAATCTGAATGTCGACATTAGAAGATTACTCTCGCGGTGACAAGCTCTTTTAATAGACATGATGGCTTAGATGTGAGGCTTAAGTTGTGAACAAAGGGATCTGGCGTGACTCAAAGTAATCTGGCGTGATTCAAAAGTCACGAATCACGCCAGATTCCTTTGTTCACAACTTAAGCCTCACATCGGTACGAGTTTTGAATTTGGTTTATCCTCAACAAAGTATTTGTAAAACAACGTCATTATGGATCATAGCAATCGGTCATACATAATTAGTGTTGACTCATTGTTTTTTCTATAACAGAGCACGTGTCATTCCCTAGAGTATTACTCCCTTTTTTAACGTTAATCCACGATAAGACAAATAAATATGGAAAGAACAAAAAGCATATTAACCTTTTTGAAATTGCTTTGTTATTATCTTAATTCGATTGACAGGGCTGCTGATCAATTAAATTGACTTGCCCTAAAATGAATTTCAAGAACGAATTCAACCATATTTGATAATATTCTGGTCGAGTGATATTTGATATTTGTCGATATATAAAAACAATAAAATTATACTTTTAATTTTATTTGTTTCACGGGTATAATGACTGCTCTCTATGGAAACTTGATATTGGGATTTTTACTTTTTGATTAATCAAAAAAAAAAAAAAAAAAACACTTAAAAAAGTCGTCTATTTTATTATTACGCACTTCCTTTTTAGTTTTCATGACGCATCCCACATGGAAAGAAGTAAGTATACATTAGAAAGGATTCAATTTCCCAGGGGGAAGATACTCTAATGTTCCTGCCCCCTGTCATGGCTACCATCACGTGATGGTGCAAAGCCTCTATATATACACAATAGATGTCATTGACTGATTAGTGTCTATTTGTGTCTATTCTCGATGGAGGGTTCTATATACAGTCAATTCAAAAAATGTTGTCGTCGAACAACTCAAGCCTACGCGACAGGACCGAAAGGAACTCTGGGTAGTAGTCATTGAAGCCGAGTTGACTGCATAATTTTATCTGACTAGTTATGCCTGGTTTACAGCACGAACCTTCGTAGGCGAGCGGGAAGTGTTGAAGGAGACGTTTTTTTAATGCCTTCATATTTTCGGAATTGTGAACTGAATCATAACTACTTTGTTTTTCTTTCCCTCTAACCCCAAAGACATGCATTTGATGAATTGTTTCTCGCCATTATTATCTTATTACTAGCAGGAACAATTAATTCAGAACGAATATTTAACCGCTTTAGTGATTTTTACCCATATTTCTTTCGGTCCAGTCGCGTAGGCTTGAGCCGGTCGACGACAACGTTTTTTGAATTGACTGTATACGCATGTCTACATATACAAAATAGACACGTCACAATAAGATTGTTTAATTGTGTGTTTTCTTCAATATTTTACCTTTGACTTTGGACAATTAGATTTTTGGGAGGTTGGGGACTTGCGTAAATCCCCAGAAATATAGAGCGAGCACCACATCTACGAGAGAGAAAATATCGCACAACCTCTCCTTTGAGAAAAGAACTATCAAGCCAACACAAAAACAATGCATCCATTTTTTTCTAAAAAAATATATCGTGCAGCATAACTTCTTGCAAACCCCATTCCTCCTCGATTATCTAATGGTGCATCCCTTTGCGTACGTCGTATATTAGTTACACTCTTTTAAAATAGGGCAATTTAAGAGTCGCGCGCTTAAGAAACACACGTGCGTAGTTAGCATTCACGTGCGTATTTAAATTATTTAATCCTGACCAGCTAGCACGATTAACCTTCACACTTACATACTAGCTACTTTAAATTGAGGTGAGACCACCTGTCGATGTGGTCTTGTTTAGATTGATCTAGGACCGATCGGGATTCGCTTTAAACCCAAGGGCGGATCCAGGGGGAGGGTCGGGGGGGTCGCGACCCCCCTGTCATTCCTGAGGTCAAATGAGCTTCTTGTGGTAAAAATGCGACTGGGATTCCTTTGCCCACAAAATTTACCCCTGAGACCCCCCTTCAAAAAGAACCCTGGATCCGCCCTTGAAACCGTTCACACTTGGTGCGTTGGTCACGATTTCACATCAATCTAGTCCAGTCCCGGACTTTCTTTATTCGGATTCCCGGGACTGGATAAAGATTGATTTAAAACACCCCCCTTAATCTTAAATTATTTGCTACTCATATTTCTTTACTTGATGTTCTTTTAAGTTAACAAAAAACAAAAATATCTGTACTCTCAAATTTAGGCCTTGTTGTTACTGTTATTATATTTACAAATATGAAGAAATAAAATGTTATGTTGTTTGTTAACGAGCTTAGACAATCCAAGTAATTCTTGTTGAGGTTGGGGACTACCCCTTTGAAATTTTTTTTTTTTAAAGTCACAGCTTTTATCCATTTCGAGATTACAAAAAGAAAAATTAAAAAAGAAGAAAAAGACAAAACTGGCTCAAGTGGGCTTTGCAGTTCATTGTGGGAATATTTGAGCAGTCATATTATAGTTCCAAGAATGCGTCTAATTTGTTCCCTGAAACAGTCTCACGATGCACTGCAGTGTCAACTCGACCCAGTTTTTTCTCGACCTTGGAATCGCTTTTATCGAAGAAATCAAAAACGCGCGCGCGTGCTGTGTGCAGTTATAGCGAAGGAGAGCGGAGTGCTTCTCGACACTTCTCTCGTGTTCTGCCAATCCTCAAGTGATTTATAACTCCACACAGCACAACAAGTAAGTTTTTTATTTCTCTAAAATACACATTACAATAACAGTTATTTCACATAAGAATGACGCCAGTGAAAGTGTGCGCGCATGGAGCGCGCGTGTGCTGTTTGCTTTCATAGAGCATGCGCTCCAACCAATTAGTTTCATAAAGCACGCGCTCCAACCAATCAGAAAGCGAGATTTATAACAACTAAAATACAGTATTGTTATATGTTCTTACACTGTGATCGGGTTTTCTTCTTATTGACTTTTGGGTGAGAGAAGGGATGGAAGGAGTAGGGAAAGGAGGATTATGTTTAGGTGGGAGGTGGGTCTAATCAAATCGGCATTTTAATGTAAAGTTAAAGGAAAATCCAGAACAGGGCTACTAAAGGCGCCAGTAGTTGACTGATGGAGAGATACTTGAATGTCGAAGCAGGATTGCACATGTTGTAGTCACAACACCGGACAGTACATGGCCCATAGCGTCGACACCATTCCCTTGCACCGTCACACATATGGGACTGGTAACAGGTCCGGGAGAGAGTGTGGTTACCGCGGAAACGAATCTCAATACATCGATCGTAGCCCAAGCTCTTGTACGGCCTGCAGTCRATACGATTGGTGCTTCTTTTGCATTGTTCTTCTTCCATGGGTGGCCAGCAGTGGTGACATGTGATACTGAAAGCTAAACACATAATGTCGTAATAATAATGTTCGTATAGCCTGCTGATATTAATAAAAAATGTCTGTCCATCAGAATCGAAAAAGTTTAGCAAAACTGATGTGTCCTCCACCAAATAAAAAAATAAAAAAATAAATGATAAAAARTAGAAAATAAAAATACAAAAACAAGAACGAACTTCTTTTTAATGAGCTTTCGAAACAGTGAAACAGTAGTTAGTGAGTTCTGTATTTTTATTGCAATGGCGGGCATGCTGTGATTTTTCGCTGATGGCAAGCTTTAGAACACCTCAATTTTGCAGTGAATTCATTTTTACGTCACAATTTCAGAACAGATGGAGCGATTTAAAGAAAGGAATCCTGCAAACTACCATAGAGAGTGTAGAGTTTAAAAGTAAATTAAAGCTCCATTGATCTCAAGCATGCGCTCCAACCAATAAGTTTCAAAAGGCACGCACAGTTATTTTATAATTCTCTTTATAACTTTTGCAAACAAAAAAAAACATGTTCTAATGAGTGTAACTGGTCGGAGTTAAAAAGTTAAAGAAAAACCAATAAAGAAAAACCATTATCTCACTATTTATCAATATCTATCTATTTCTTCCTTGCTAATGAATATTTACTCCAAAAAAAGTGTTTTTCCGATTATTTTTTTATGTTAAAAAACCTTCGTATTTCTTTAAATTTCAGATATATTAATAGTTATTTAGTTATCATTTATAACCATTGGTTACTCTATAATTCTGTACATCATTGTAACATTATTTTACTAGCTATATAATACAATTTAAAATATCATGCAAATATGCTATCAATGAAAAGAAAGAAAATTTGTAACATAGTAAAGGTTTCTTGTACTAGAATAAGCCATTGGCTTCGTTACAAGCATCCTTGTCTTATTTCGATTTTTTGTTATTGCATTGACTTAGTTTATTTTCATGACAAAAACAAATAAACTGTAAACTCATATGTGCTTTGTGATTTAGTTTGTTGTATTGTCATATTCAGAGCTGCTAATTTTGTTTATGATATATGCGGAAAGGCAAAGCATTTAACAGTTCCAAAGATGAAAAGTATTTCCAAGCTCCACATATTGCTTATAAAAGTTTGTTTTTTTTCTTTATTAAACAAATATTGATTCGTTTTCAAAAAAAGGACAAAGTAAAACATTATATTCAAAGTGTATTTTCTGTGTATGATTCATGGATGAATGACTCATGATGAAAAGCATTCTTGTGTGAATTCGTTGATGTTCATTTGCATAAACGAACTATTAACAGTTGTATTTAGTGTAAAGTTTGTAAGCCGATTTACAAAAAGAAAAAAGAAATCCGATATCTTTATATACACTTTGCATACAAGTCTACCAAAATTCAAATCATTGTTTTCAAAATCTTAGTCAAAAATTAATAGTTTATTAAGTGAACATGGCTAGACAAATATATATATTTTTAATGAAACATTAGCATGGTTAATGTTTTACCAAGCGAACAAGTTGTACGTGTTTTTCGATGTTTTGTAAATTCCAACGTTTTATATTAAGTTGCACGTTGGAATCTTGCGGACTTTTTGCTGTCATTCTAATCCGAAGATYGATCACATGGCTGCTAATAAACATTATCAGAAGACAGCAAAAAAGCATTCAAACTTATAAATCAGAAGACCTTATATCCATAGCTATTATAACATCTAAATGAACTTTAGGAAGCTTCAGTATTTACAAACTTTGGTAAGGCATACTGTAATAAATACCAAAACTTTGTATCCGTTTTTCTGCATACTCTAGCGATCTTTTTGATTCAAAATGAGAGTAGATTTAGCGCGCCATATCTATCCACACGGGGTCTTGCATATATTGATTTCGAGGTCATGTTAGAGCCGTTTGTAAAGAACAGTTATCAAAATAAGATTGCAGTATATCAAAGATATAGCCATGATAGCTATGCCTTAGATATATTTACTATATGATTAATAATTTATCGATATTTAAGGTTACCTGTATGGACGAAACAACATATCACGAGAAATCCAACCAAGTACTTCATATTCGAAACACTTCAACGAAGAATCCAAAACCACCTTAATTTTTTTAGCGTCAAACTCTACTCTTGTACGACGACGATCTTTCCAGTTCTTGAAAGTTTGATAAGTTTTTTTCCGGTTTTAGATGTTACGATCAAGTTCTTATTTACTAAATTAGCTTTCAAGAAAAATGACGCTCCGCAAATATTTCTCTAATCACGGAATCCGTAGAATGCTTATTATAACTTCTAAGTACCACTTTTGAAAATCAACCAATCAGAGAACTGTACTAACAAAGGAATATTTAATACAATGGTAAATATTTTAATTTATTCTAGTTAAAGAAAATAGCTTGATAAGAAAAGAGTATAAAACAGATCATATTTGTTAGGTAATTTAAACTATTTTACAGGTATTTTCTTAAACAAAAATGAAATGATTTGCTTTGCTTCGCTTCAATATTAGAGCTAATATAACGCGGTTTGCCAAAGAAAAAAACTGTGAAAGCTATTTTTAAAATATACAAAATCATACGTATTGCATAATACATGTTGTTTTTTCTTTCTCCCTTCATTCCTTTCTTCCATTTTTTGCTTTATTTTTTTCCATACTTTTCMATAAGTAAAAACTATTGTAGACAGTTTATAAAATTACTTCTTGCTTAAATCAAAGTTAACTATGCTTAGATGAAATGCTAAAAGAAAAGAAAACAACTAGCTTTTGGTTTGTGCAGATAAAGATCATAATTTTGTCAAAACTCTCATGTAAAAAAGGCAAGTATATTACAGAGTTTGTCAAATTTACACTTCAATATATTCTTATGAGTGTTTTTTTTAAGTTAGTTTTTCTTCTAAAGACCTCTTGCATGCGACGTCAGAGCAGCTCCATTTTAATCTCATGAGAATTGGAAACCTTTTCTTATGTCCTCCAAATTAAGCTGCATTCTGACTTACTGCAAAAGGTCTATATCCAGATGAAGTTTTCTATATCGATTTTATTAAAGAAGTATTAAATGCTTACACCTCCCTCTTTTCTTCATTCTCTCTTTCTTTCTCTCTTACTTATTCTCTTTTTTACAATGCCATGTATACAAGAATCAAAAGCATGACCATCTTGGCAGGAAAGTGCGTGACGTCACTTGCGTTACAAATATTATTTGTACAACAAGAAACAGTACAGGGGCCATAAAGCCTGCACCAATTTTTAGCTCCTTCACACAAGAATCCTTGGTAACATGTCTTTGCAACTGTATGGTTGCCGTTGTAGTCGACTTTAATGCAAGAGTCATACCCAAGGGGTTTGTAATCATGACAATCAATCATTTTGTTCTGGCGTTTGCAAAGTTCTTGGTCCATTGGGGGAAAGCAGTGGTAACATTTGATCGAAGACACTAAAAAGTGAATGAAATATAAAAGTGTATATTATTATACAACATGAACAACCTGTGGAGCCATAAAGCTATGAATCTTTATTAGTTTGTTTTCTTTGGAAGACTTGAGGAAAATAGAGAGAAATAATGATGCATGAAGAAGGAAGCAAGGAAGCAAGGAAGCAAGGAAGCAAGGAAGCAAGGAAGCA